TTCAGCATTCTTGGAAGATTTACCTAATGAATTATTTGCGCAAATATTCTCTTATTTAAATGGGGTAGATGCTATTTATGCTTTTTCATGTCTTAATAATCGTTTTAAATGTTTACTTATTGAAAATTGTGAATTCTTTGATTTTAAATCAATAAGTAAATTTAAATTTGATCTTGTCTTTCAACATCAAAATACAAAACGATGGAAATCATTAAAAATTTCTGATGATGAACATACACCTGGTCATGTTGAATACTTTTGTCAAGTTTATTCTTTAATCAATGATTTTCCTCAATTACAATCATTAGTTATTTCAAATTTCGACATTCGAAAGACATACATTATTTTATCTCAACTTTCATCTTTAAAAACTCTTGTTTCGTTAACAATTAAATCTCTATGTGGTGAAACAATGCCTCAACTTGATCTTCCAAATTTGAAAAAACTTGTTTTCGGTGCCTGTTCTCATATTGATTGGATAAAAGTAAATTTAAAAATACAGAAAATTATTCAATTTTCTTTATTATTTGTTTTTTTTTAGAATTTTTCTCAACTTGAAAGTGTTGAATATACAATAGAAAATTGTCATTGGTTTCGAAATGATTTATCATGGCCATCAACATTAAGACATCTTAAAGTTATCTTTGATTATGAAGGATATTGGAATTTTATACAACGTTCACTTGTTCATTTATCATTATTAAATACTCTTGAAATATATCAAAGACAAAGAGCAAGCATACCTCCTAATGGTCAAATATGGGAAACCTTGATTTGTTCATCTCTTTCATTATTAAAAATCTTCAAATTTTATTTCAACTTTGAATATTCATTGCAATCATCATATCAAATAGATGAAGCCATAGTATCATTTTCCACACCATTCTATATACTGGAAAAGAAATGATTTATTCGTTGTGATATATCTGATCGTGGTCGTGCTCTTCTCTATTCATTACCATTTCCTTTCGAAACCTATACAGCTTTGCAAGGTAGTAATATCAAAACTGTTTCAACTTTATTTTATGTTAATAATAACGATTTCTATACTAATATATTTTCAAATGTTAAAACACTAGAAGTCCTATATAAATCTTCGGAACTCGATGAAAACTTTCATAGAAATGGAGTGATTAATTTGACTATTTATAATGATTTTGATTCAATTAAATGGATGCATGTATTGAGTAAACTACAACATTTAGAGATGAACTGTCCTACAACGATGTCACCAGAAAATTTTCTTCATATATTGAAAAATGCACCTCATTTACATTCATTAGTTGTAGAAAAGAGAATTTTACAGATAGCAACAGAACATTGGAAAAATGTTTCTATATGTGATTATCTATCTCGTAAGATTATCGCTTTAAAATTATGTGGAAGATACGCACGATCACAATATATGAATAACCATGAAATTCAACAAATTATTCGGATTTTTCCTCGAAATGTCAACATTTATCTTTATGTATTCAATCACCAAACGACACAATCGGTTTTATTTTAGAGAATATGTCTCAACTACAAAGTTTACATGTCAATATTTCTGGAAAGATAAAACCATTAATTGATATGGCATGGTTACAAAAGGAACAGACTATATTCAATAG